AATATGATTTTTTGTTTTCTGGGCAGTTTTTTCTACCCATAACCTAGAAACCAACAGAAACAATTCTACAAATTGAGCAAAAAAAAAATATACTTAAAGTCTGCTGAGAAGATTGATTTATTTGAAACATTTTTTAAAGAAACTTTGCTAAAAGATAGTTCCATCTGTATCATAATGTCAATTAGACAATTAACTAAGTTTAATGGAAAAAGAATTTTAATAACAGGAAGTTTAAGTTTATGTTCACGCTTTCCAATGTGGGGAGCAGACAACAGAAGACCTTCTGGTCCACCGAGGGCTTCGATAAAAGATGTCCGCCAGACGCACATCAGGACTCTGATCATCCTGAAGAAGAAGAAGAAGAAGCGACAGACACTGCAGGAGCAACAGAGGAGACCCCATTCTACCTTTATACTCAACAGGGCTGCCCTGGTACCAGGAGAAAGTGTGGATGTTATTCTAGGTTTCGATTATTTTAATGGAAGTTATAATTTATTTTCAGTTCCTCGAACATGTTATTCAAATTTTTTTGTAGATTTAACTAGTGTTGGCGATAAATTTTTAGCCCAGAATAGTTAAATTTTTCTGAGCTAAAATCTAAAAAACGTTGAAGGAGCTGAAAATTAAAAGTAAAGACAGCCAACTTTATTCTGTTATATAAGTTCATTTTTCTTAATGTTTCAAGGGCGTGAAAGAGCCAAGTGTGTGTCAGTCGAATTGAAACAAGAAAAAAGGGCAAGCAGTCAATATCATCACAGTCAATGTGCTGGCCCATTTCCTTGATCCAGCTATGAAACTTAGCCAGAAGATGATCCAACTCAGACAGAACAAACAGCCAAATGGGTTAACCCTGAGCATATGTTTTTTTTTTATTTCTGTAACATTATTTTTTTGTATCTTCCAGGTCTGAACATGTCTGATGCAGTTCAGGACAGATATGTAATCTCACAACAAATGGATTAAGCCTGGGCATATCTGTATTTTTATTTTATTTCTGTAAGGATTGTGCAATGAATGAGGAGGTATGTAACGGCAACACTTTCTCCCTGTCGCTCATTGCCAAGATTCAAATGAATCTCCCTTTAAAACTCGTCAAATTGGTTGAACTCTACCAACACTCAACAATTGGTTAGAGAAAAGAGTTTGGAAAACAACAGTTGAAAACATCCAAATTTTCAAAAAAAAACAAAGGAAAATAAAGTTATTTTTAAAAAAAAACTCACCCCACCTCGCCACACGCTATGCGAAACACAAAGTGGTGTTCTTGGCGTTTAATGAACTTTAATTACACCAATTGTCATGATTCATTGTTGCGACTATCAAAAAAAGTTAGCTTTATCGATTCTCGGATGGTTATTTGTTCAGACCAATTTCCAAAGAGTATTTGCCAGCTCAGGGGATTACCAGGGCCCTGCCCGTTGCGCAATCCACTCAGTAAAACTAATACGAGACTATCTAGTGTGCTCATTTTATACTTTCAGGCTTAAAGTTTAAGGCAATTTATTCCCGCATGGAGAATTATCCCGCACCACAACCTCGTTGCAAATTGAATTGACGCAAGCTATTTGTTCTTATCAGTTCCATACGCTTCCACAGAATATTGTTTGGACTTTTGTAACGAAGTTAACGGAAAGTTTGTGCTCGGGTGGATTTTTTTTCTTCAGACGAATTTTGAATTTGTAATTAGCCGTTTTTGACGGAATTTTTAAAATCTCATTCGAACACCATTAAGCCCGCACGGCCCGTTTTCAGGTGTCTCTTTAAGCGGAGAACAAAAAATAAACAGTTAACTTCTTGGATCCAATGCAATTGACCGTCTACCGGCAAACATTTATTAAACGTAAGCCTCTTTATTCGCACCTTTAAACCGTTCTCTATAAAAAAAATAATATTATTTTTTGTTTTCTTGGGCAGTCTTTTCTACCCATAACCTAGAAAACAACAGAAACAATTCTACATATTGAGCCCATTAAGCCCGCACGGCCCGTTTTCAGGTGTCTCTTTAAGCGGAGAACAAAAAATAAACAGTTAACTTTTTGGATCCAATGCAATTGACCGTCTACCGGCAAACATTTATTAAACGTAAGCCTCTTTATTCGCACCTTTAAACCGTTCTCTATAGAAAAAAATAATACTATTTTTTGTTTTCTTGGGCAGTGTTTTCTATCCATAACCTAGAAAAAAACAGAAACAATTCTACATATTGAGCAAAAAAAAAATTATACTTAAAGTCTGCTGAGAAGATTGATTTATTTTAAACATTTTTCAAAAAAAATTTGCTAAAAGATAGCTCCATCTGTATCATAATGTCAATTATACAATTAACTAAGTTTAATGGAAAAAGAATTTTTAATAACAGGAAGTTTGAGTTTATGTTCACGCTTTCCAATGTGGGGAACAGACAACAGAAGACCTTCTGGTCCACCGAGGGCTTCGATAAAAGATGTCCGCCAGACGCACATCAGGACTCTGATCATTCTGAAGAAGAAGAAGAAGAAGAAGAAGAAGAAGAAGCGACAGACACTGCAGGAGCAACAGAGGAGACCCCATTCTACCTTTATACTCAACAGGGCTGCCCTGGTACCAGGAGAAAGTGTGGACGTTATTCTAGGTTTCGATTATTTTAATGGAAGTTATAATTTATTTTCAGTTCCTCGAACATGTTATTCAAATTTTTTTGTAGATTTAACTAGTGTTGGCGATAAATTTTTAGCCCAGAATAGTTAAATTTTTCTGAGCTAAAATCTAAAAAACGTTGAAGGAGCTGAAAATTAAAAGTAAAGACAGCCAACTTTATTCTGTTATATAAGTTCATTTTTCTTAATGTTTCAAGGGCGTGAAAGAGCCAAGTGTGTGTCAGTCGAATTGAAACAAGAAAAAAGGGCAAGCAGTCAATATCATCACAGTCAATGTGCTGGCCCATTTCCTTGATCCAGCTATCAAACTTAGCCAGAAGATGATCCAACTCAGACAGAACAAACAGCCAAATGGGTTAACCCTGAGCATATGTTTTTTTTTATTTCTGTAACATTATTTTTTTGTATCTTCCAGGTCTGAACATGTCTGATGCAGTTCAGGACAGATATGTAACCTCACAACAAATGGATTAACCCTGGGCATATCTGTATTTTCATTTTATTTCTGTAAGGGTAGTGCGATGAATAAGGAGGTATGTATCGGCAACACTTTGTCCCTGTCGTTCATTGCCAAGATTGAAATGAATCTCCCTTTTACACTCGTCAAATTGGTTGAACTCCACCCTCACTCAACAATTGGTATGAGAAAAAAGTTTGGAAAACATCAGTTAAAAACATCAAAATTTTCAAAAAGCAAAGGAAAATAAAGTTAATTAAAAAAAACTCACTCCACCCCGCCACACGCTATGCGAAACACAAAGTGATGTTCTTGGCGTTTAATGAATTTTAATTACACCAATTGTCATGCTTCATTGTTGCGACTATCAAAAAAAAATAGTTTTATCGATTCTCGGATGGTTATTTATTCAGACCAATTTCCAAAGAGTATTTGCCAGCTCAGGGGATTACCAGGGCCCTGCCCGTTGCGCAATCCACTCAGTAAAACTAATACGAGACTATCTAGTGTGCTCATTTTATACTTTCAGGCTTAAAGTTTAAGGCAATTTATTTCCGCATGGAGAATTATCCCGCACTGCAACCTCGTTGCAAATTGAATTGATGCAAGCTATTTGTTCTTATCAGTTCCATACGCTTCCATAGATTATTGTTCGGCTTTTTGTAACGAAGTTACGGAAAATTTGTGCTAGGGGTGGATTTTTTTTTCTTCAGACAAACTTAGATTTTTTAATTAGCCGTTTTTGACGGAATTTTTAAAGTCTCATTCGAAGGCTATTCTTGTGATAGTTTTTCGCAAAGTTATGAGGGTTTAAAGATTGCCATTCTGGCCAATTTGGGACAATTAACCAGCGATATATTTCACGCTCTTTACGCGTAGGCGAAGATTTAATCCGACTTAGAAGTCGTTCCAAATTGGCTAAAGGAAACTTTTTGCCAAATTGATTTGATAATGGGAGCGAAATCTATCACTTTACATGGCGTGTGGGGGATGATTTTCACAAAAACCTCATTTAAAAAAAATTTTCATTGCATTTTTTTTACATTTAATTTGTTTCATGTTATTACTGCTCAATAGACCTTAAAAGCCAGTCGGAACATTCAGGGCTTCGCTCTGATACGAGCAGTCTTGTTTCACATAATATCAGCTTGTTTGTGAATTTATAGCTTGTCAATATTTCATTAACCAAAAGTTATTAGAGACCAGTTTAATGGCAATCGGAAAATTCAGTGTTTCGAACCTGATGCGAGCAGCCCTGGCACGGGCATCCCTGTTACGATCAATTTTCGTATCAGTGAGGGACATCATCAATCACGGACATCATCAAGCGTTATTTCAAAAAGATTAGAAGCCATTTGCGGATTTTTCGCATTCACGGCACTGCTCGTATCAGATACGAGCCCTGATACAAGCAGTGTTCCTTGATCGCGCAAAATTCACAAATGTCTACTTATCACTTAGATTTCAGATACTTAATTAACAGACTCAAAAAGGACCTGCCCTGCAATTTGCAAGGTCAGCGCTTGCAAGATAGCCATAGATTAATGGGCTCGTCATGTGCAATTTAACTTTAGTTCAATTTTAAAATAAATAACTTTCGAGTTAGGCCTCTGGCGGGGTTGGTTGACTAAAAAAGTTAGGGAGCTCTTTGTCCTTCCCCACCCTATTTCATAAAAACATCAGTTTATGTGTACCGAGGGGTTTTACAACAAGTATGAAGATTAAAGATGTGTATCATGAACTAATCAGTCCGCATGCCAATTTTTCTTTCAATCGGACCAAAAAAATATTAATAAATATCGCCGGTGAGGGGAAAGAAAAAAGAGCCAATTAGGTCTATAAAATTTCCTGCTAATTTTCTTTTTGTAATGTAAAAATCTTTTTAGTAAAATTTAATTAGACTCATTAGATTTTTTGAAAAATGAAATCGAGAGAAACAATTTGACTCTGATTCTTAGATTTTTGATGTAATAAATTTTTTCTGCATGTTTTTTTTTTCATTCGTTTTTCAGTTGGCGCGGATCTAGTTTTTCTCGGGAGTGGGTGCGGGGGATTTTCCAAACAATTTTGAACTTTATTTTGACACCTTCATTGATTTTAGACCAAATCTAATTTTTTTGATTTTAGCTGGATATTTAAAAGAACGGCAAAAAAGTATTTAGAGCAATTTGTTGATGGTTTGGACAAAGAAATTGCGTTTTTGAACCCCATTTAACCAACTCCTCAAAATGATTAAATTTTGGTTACCGAGCCTCTCTTAAAAAATTTTTTGACCAAAAAAGAATATTGCGATATAGTAACAAAGGGTGCTCTATGTGGGTAGGGGTAGAATTTAACTTAATACGCAATTAAAATATATGATTTGGCGACAAGTATATGCTTTAAGTTTAGTTTATAGTCCGTATTATGACTATATTCAAGTTTTGATTTCCGTTTCAATTCCTTTATAGTAGAAAACATAATATTTCTCTCTTTCATTCCTGTCGCCCTCTATCGGTTGAAAAATACGACTGATGCGAAGCGGGTGAACTGGTATAACTCTCTCAGTCCCCCAAATGCGTACTCAACTCGCTCTTTCTCCCACTCAATGAACTCGACTGCTGGTCGCCAGAATACAGGAAACCACTCGGCCGAGTTCACATCCTGAAAAAGAAAATGTAGCCAATAGAGAGTTGCAAAAAATTCAATAACGCAAGTAAACAGAAAAGTTTTTTTGAACAAGCTTCAACTTTCGAATTTCAAAACAAAAAACATATATGGCCTGTGATACACCTAGAACCTCTTTAATTTCAAGAACAAAATTGATGAAATTAACTCGATTCGAGAAAACTGGATCTAAAGGTTAATTCTGTTTTCCGCAGTGAAATTTGAAAGCTAAAACTAGGGGCCCAGCTAAAGCTGGAGGTACTTGTTTGATATTTTTTAGAATGTTTTTGATCCAGGACGAAACGCGTAATTTTCAATATTTCAAAAATTTAAATTAAGACTTAATTTTAGTTGTTTTCTACTAAAAAATAAGTGATAGGTCGCTAATATAAGGGAGATTGTTTTATACTAAAAAATAAGTGATAGGTCGCTAATATAAGGGAGATATCTATTACCATTATTTAATTTGATTTCATTTAGAATATTGGCTGGGTAGTGGACTTTTCTCATAAGCTGTTCTTTTGAACGAAAGCAAGGAACCATTTATGCCATGAAAATACTCTTACACTGTTTCCTCGATTAAATTTTAATTCTCAAAACAGGTAGGGTAGTTTCTGAAAGGATTGAAAATTTTTTCAAAATTGGAAAATCAGTGAAAACTCTAGAGTTTGAATTTTTTCAATGAGATAACAGGTTTTCTAACAAAAATTGAAGAGCCGCCAATTTCCCTTGATTGGTTTTTTAATTTTGACATTTCCAAAGGAAAATTTTTTTTTTTTGATTATAAATAAAAGACAGCTGCTCATGTAGGGGAGCTTCCCTCAACGTTTTTCTTCGATTGAATTGAAAATTGAAGGTTTGGCAGAGCAGTTTTATAGAAAAACGAAAACTTTCAAAAAAAGTCCACTAAAATTAGCGCCATAACGTTTTGTTTAGGAAGATTTGGGAAGCAGCGTTTATGTAGGGGAGCTTCCTGAAACCAGTTTTTTTGATTGAATTTATAGTATTAGATTTGTAAGGTTAGTTTCCGATAAAAGTCAAATGTTTTCAAAAAACTATCAAAAAAATAAAAGTTTCGACTTTTCTGGGGACCAAATTTTTTTTGTGTAAAACATTGGCCTTAGCCGCTCATGCAGGAGCGCGTTTCACAACTTGTTTTTTTTGGTGAACCTGAAACCGTAGATTTCGTAGGGTAGTTTTTGAGAATTATCAAAAAGTTTCAACACATGGACAAAAAGTCAAATATTCGACTCATCCGTGGGCCTTATTTTTGTGTCAGAAACTTTAGGCGTAGCCATTTGCTTATCTAAAGAAGCTTCTCTGAACTCATTTTTATCCACTGAGCTCAAATTGTCAGATTTGGCACGGTAGTTTTCGAGAAAAGTCAAAAAATATCAAAAAAAACTGTCTTTTCAAAAAAAAAAAAAAGAAAGTTAAAAAATTGACTTTTCCGAGGTCGATAACTTCTTGTGTAAAAATATTTTTGGGTGCTAACTGGCCCAAAATTTGGGCGAGATTTTGGGTGCTCATATTTGGGCGAGAAATGAAAAACACACAGAAGTTTGTGTCAAATATTCCCCCACAGAGTTTTGCGAAGGCTGTAGAATTAAAGTTTTTCTACTGATACTATTTTTTTGAAAACCAATCATGTTCTTGAGAAAAATTTTGAGAAAAAAAAGATAAATTTCTCAAAACGTCTCACAAAAAAAATAAATCCCATACATTTTTATAATACTTGTTTTGAAAAACTAATTTTTTTTCGATAATAAAATTAGATCCGTTTTTTTTATACTTCACAGTTTTGCGGTTTGATAGGGTAGTTTGCTTCTCTTTTAACGGAGAAACTGAGCTAACTTTATAAAGAAATCAGTGCTTTTTTCCACTTCCCGCAACTTTCATCTTTTCTATTTTTATAGAAGTTTTACATGATATCTGACTAACCCTGTGATGCTAAGTTGTAAGGCATGAAGATTAAATCTGCTCACAATTGTTAGTTTAATCACCATGCAAAACTTCAATGCATTTTGACAACGTCTAGTAGACTTTCAAAATTGAAACTGAAAGGTGGAGGTGGCAGAAGTAGAGAAAAGCTATAAGACCAGTAGTCAAACCGCAAAATATTTAAATTCAATGAACAAGTTTTCTGACTTTTTTTGCAAAAAATATATTAAAAAAATCTTCACGACTTATGTAACGACCTGCGGCTCTTCTCTAGTTTCCCAACCCCTCGTAAAATAGCAAAAAAGAGCTGCTCAAAAATTGTTTACGCGGATTTTTGCATGTTATAAATGTTGTGAAAACTTGTTCACCTGTTCATGCTGACACGTTTAATGCAGTTTTGAATATGAAAAGTAATTTTGAATAGATTTTCTTTTAATGATCTTCAGAAAAAATCAATGGGAAAACTAGAAAAGAGCTCAGTCTTCACTGCGATCATCGACTATTGACTCTTAGAAATTGTTTTGTCCGATCCTGGTGTTCTATCTCATGTAAAAAGTTCTGTTCATACACGCCGTCTGTCTCTGCTGTTATCAAATTTGTCCGGATATGTTTGTGCGACTCCATAAAGAACTATTAAAGTTTAACCTTCTTCTTGTTTCTTAGCCTGAATGATTCTAGGAAAATTGTACTAACTAAAATGATAACAGCTGGTTTTCTTGCTAGAATTTGATATTTACAGTTTTGTGAAACTTGAAACGGTGAAAAACTAATACATTCAAATTAGACCTCATTAAATTACGTAAATTTCATATTCACCGAAGTTTCACTAAATTTCAGAAAATAACGTAACCCTTAAAAATACAACTTGCAGTTGTTTGAAAACTGTAATTGTTTATCCATAACTTGCCCTAAATTTTAATAAAACATTAACTCTACAGTGTCATCATCAATTTTACAAATGTGTTATATGAGAGCAAATTGTGTTTTTAATTGTGTAATGCAAATACATGCCAATTTTTGTGATAAAAAGACAACGACGACAGAGGTAAGATTCAATGAATTCAAGAGCCAAAAATTGTTGATACTGAAAAAATGACAAAAAAAGGCTGTAAAATTTTTTGCAGTTGATCACACCAGGCGCGGATCTAGGTTTTTCTCGTGGGGAGCGAGCTCTTTTGAGAAATTTTGACCAAAAAACCTTTTTTTTCGACGCGCGCTCCCCCTTAAAAATACTCTTTATTGGCGTTAAAGGCGCCCTTAGAAAATTTCTAAGGTTAGTCTTTAAAAATAATAATTTACTGTAGCCCATTTAGACCAGTGAATAGATTTAGAATGCATCTACTTGGATTTGTGTGGCAGGAAAAAAATTAATTTTATTGCCAATAAAATGTTTCAAAGCAATAAAAACAGATTTGCAGTGAAATCCAAAACTGTTCAACAAAATTAGTTTAATCGAGTGAGTTAAAATTAGTTTAATAAAGTTTTTGTTTGAATCTTACAAAACTGTATTGATGCCATTTTCATGATCAACGTTCTGGGCGCAGAAAGAAATAAAAATGAAAAAATCAAATTAAAACCGTCCAAATTTAGTGCTGAAAACTTATGTATTTTATTCTCATAGCTTCTTTTCAGGCCAAACATCAACAACGAAAACTCTTTTTAAAAGCTAACCTTATACTTTTTTATCCCAATTTCTGTATTGCTTGATAGTTGAGAAAACCTGAATACAGATTGGGCTCTCTTCCACTCCGCCGCATTTTAATTTTTCCAATTTTTCATTTGTTTTACGTGATTTTATGGCTCAATGCGACGTAAGGTATACAGAACAAAAGTATTCGCAATTGTAAAGTTGTTCACGATGCAAAATTTCTTTACATTATAACAACGTAGCAATAGTTTTTCAGAACTGTAATTCAAATGAGAAGGGGAAATGGAAAAGAACCACAATTGGTCTATGCTCTGTAAAAAGTAAAATTTGCAAAAAAAAATTAGATAAAAATCGATTATAATTGTTGTCGGCTCTTTTTCTTTTTTCCCCACCTGCAAATTTTTAAATTTAAAGTTACTGTTCACTTTGTCCGATTGTCATGAAAAGTTTAAAGCAGACTAATAAGGCCACGACAAATATATTTTGTCTTCATTAATAACCTTGTAAAACCACTCGTTAGAACATGAAATTCACGTTTAAGTGAGGTGAGGGGGAAAAGAAAAAGAGCCTTGTTGCCATGTTAGTTTTACTAAAATCCGCATACAAAAAAGATTTTAAAATTTGCCAAAAATGGATTTAAAATGACTTAGAATTGATTGAAATTGATTTTTCAGGCTACAGTTTTGCATCAAACCAAACCAATTTCAAACTGGTTCAAATCAGTTAATAGGTCTTTGCAGCATTATCTGTATAATATGAATTGCAATCTATTTCTTGACCCATACAGTTTTAAAATAGGGCTCTTTTTCCTCCCCCCCCCCCCCCCCCCCAACTGCAATTTTTTACATGCAAATTTGTTGACCACATTGTCCGATTGTTACAAAAATTGGCTCTTTTCCAGTTCCCCCCCCCCTTTCAAAATATCGAGTTTTATGTTTGTCTTACGTGTTATTACGGCTAAATGCGTGATGTTACGCTGTAAAGTATGAAAAACAAATCTGTTCACAGTTGTCGATTTGTTCACCACGCCAAATTTCATTGCATTATGACAACGTTAAATAAGCTTTTCAAAATTGAATTTGAAAGGGGGGGGGGAACTGGAAAAGAGCCCAAAAATTTACATACAAACTAATGAGGCCACGACAAACATATTTGGTCTTCATACTCAACCTCGTAAAACCACTCGTTACACTAATATTTTGAAGCTCGTGTGAGGTGGGAGGGAAAAGGAAAAAGAGCCTAAAATAGTACCAATGTGGACCCCCTGAGTTGAAATACTCTGAGACCTACTAGTTTGAAATATGCTTTCAGTTTTTCATAAAATCTTTTTCTTCATATTAAACTTAATCAAATCGCGAAATTAGCAGCTCTCACCCCCACCTTGCACGAACATAAATTTTACGATGAAAAGGAGTAGTTTTACAAAGTTAAGTAAGCAGACTAAATATGTTTGGGCTCTTTTTCCTTTTCCCCCACCAGCAAATTTTCATTAGTAAAATTAGTGTTCATATTGTCCAATTTTTATGAAAATTGAGATGCAGACTAAATAAATCATGACAAACATATTTTTGGTATTCATAATAAACCTTGTAAAACCACTCGTTAGACCATAAAAAGGGTGCTCGATTGAGGTGGGGTGAAAAAGGAAAAAGAGCCTATGTTTGCCCTGGCTCAGTTAGTCCGAATGTCCATTTTGATAACATGGAGCCAAAAATTGGGAACAAGAGTTGGCTTTTTCCCATTCCTTTCTTTATACTTTTTGTAAAATTTGTCTTACAAATGCCTGTTTAAAATAATATTTGTTGTTTTAAATTGCCATGAAACATTTCAGTTTGATTACGTGGGGGATGGGAAACTGGAAAAGAGCCCAAGAAAAATGGGTTAACCTACCTTGTTTTCTGCTAAGAACATGTAAAGCTGAAAGACCCAATCACCCACTATAAATGAGCCAATCAGATCTAGGGTGTAGTGATTATGCGCAAATAGAATCATTGTCGCAATTGACAAAGCTACTAAGGTATTCAGTTTATGAAGCAGCCACCAATTATCAGGCATATAGTGACGCAAATGTCTATGAATAATAGTCGCCATCAAAGCATGACCACTGAAAAAATAGTTTCCACACATATGGCCTCCAAAAATAGAGAGTCCAGCTGTGCTCCAGAGAAGCAAGATGCGGCGTATGATTTCGGTAGTCCCAGTAGCTTTAGGAGAGCATTCCATAGTGTCTAAGGATCGAGGTAGCACGTTCGACCACACACAGATGATGCGAAATATAAAGCAAATTGATTGGATGGCGAGACATCTTCTAGCGATGACGAAGCGTCGTTTGTGAAACACCAGGAATGAAATGAACCTAAATAGTGATGTTCTGCAAACAAACCACGTGTTAAGATACGTTACTTCGGCTCTTTTCCACCACCCCTCAGTTTTCTATTTTCATATTTTTCGTGTTATCATGGCTAGGTACATGATGTTACGATGATAAGAATGAAATAATTATTAGTTTGTTCACCATGTCATCGCATTGTGACAACAATAGAACTGTTTTTCAAAATTGAATTTGAAACGTGGGGGCTTTAGAAATAAGACTAAGATGAAGAAAAGTTTTCAAAAAAAAATTGAGGAGAGAGTTTTGAAATACATGTTATTTCTGCGAATTTTTGTTTAATGTGTGCCAACTCCGAAAACTCTGCCTGTAGATATTCCAGGCGAAGACAAACAACTTACCATATTTGGTATGTAAACAGCAATATCTCTGAATACTTCCCCGCCTGTTTATGCCTCGGTACCCGAGATAACACGCTATCATATAACACAGGAGCATCTAAGTTCATTCTTTCGTTCGACATAGTGATTGTAAACATCACAAACAATTCCACGACTTGAAATGCAATCAAACTAAGTAGGAAAAGTAAAATATCATTTTTCACTTGTTGAGTTTTGTAAGGTAAGTTGATGATTTTTTCGAGCGTTTTGCTCCTAGGTACTGCATCTTTATCTAAAGGGGATCCAACGTCTTTTTCGCAACCCGTGCAGACTGGAAACATTACGAAGATAATATGATAATTTTGTTGAATATTTTAATTTCCGAATTTAACAAAAGCCCGAAAATTTGAATGAAAACTTCAATCTTTCAAGCCTTGAACTTTAACTGTAACTAATCAACAGCTTAAAGCTCCAAATCAAAAGGCTTGAACTTGTTCAGTTCTATTGAATGAAAACAAATGAAAACAATCGAATTATATATATGATCTAATGAAATCTTAAACATGCACGTGTGCTAAACATTTTGGTATGTAATATACGGTATGAATTTGTTTGTATCTGCCGATTTTTTTGTTTGCAATTTTATGGCCGACGAATGTGTTTTGTTTTGTGAATATCTTATGGATGAATGAAAAGCGTGTCCTAAAACTAAATGGCATTTTTCTTTTGTTCAATTTTTTGTAATACTTATTTGTCCGAATTTTTCTTGAAAACAGAATATTTATTGCAAAAATAGTTTTTTTTCCATACTAATTTCGGCGATGACCGAAGAAACCGCTTGGCTCTGTTTCCTTTTCCGGCTCTTGGCTCTTTTTCCTTTTCCCCCCACCTCACACGAGCTTCAATATATTAGTGTAACGAGTGGTTTTACGAGGTTCAGTATGAAGACCAAATATGTTTGCGTGGCCTTATTAGTCTGCTTGTAAATTTTCATAACAATCGGACAATGTGGTCAACAAATTTACATGTAAAAATTTGAAGGTGGGATGGAAAAGAAAAAGAGCCCGGCTCTTTTCCAGCTCCCCCCTTTCAAAATATCGAGTTATATGTTTGTTTTACGTGTTATTACGGCTAAATGCGTGATGTTACGCTATAATGTATGAAGAACAAATTTGTGCACAGTTGTCGATTTGTTCACCACGCCAAATTTCATTGCATTATGACAAGTTTAATTAAGCTTTTCAAATTTGAATTTGAAGGGGGGAGGGAACTGGAAACGAGCCCCTTTTCCCCCTGCCTGCGAATTTTTATAAGTTGACATGCGGAAGTAGGCCATGACAAACATGTTTGATATCCTTTTCTTTTACCCCTACCTCACATAAGCATCAATTTTATGGCCTAACAGTGAGTTTTAAGAGGTTAAGTATGAAGACCAAATATGTTTGTCATAGCCTAATTGGCCCGGATGCCAGTTTTTTAAACATTAAGATGATCCCGTGGATTTTAATCGATTATAATGGACTCCGGAGCCAAAAATAATCCATTATTAAAGATGTAAAACTCAGACCACGAAATTGATTATATTGCCATTATAATCGATTATTTTTGAAAAAAAAATCCATTATAATCTATTATAATCGATTATAATCTATTATTTTTGGCAAGGAAATTAATTATTTTTGACAAGATAATCCCTTATATTCGATAAGTTTTGAATTAAAAATAATGGATTTTTTTGATTATAATCAACTTTATTTTTTTGAACAAAGTTCGATTATTTTTGCAAAAATTTGCAAACTTTGCAAGAAATTTGCAAACTGTATGCCATTTCTCTCAAGTTTTTTTTACCTCCCACCCAATTAAAGAGGGGGGTAAACATGGAGTGGGGGTAAACTATACTAATAAATAATCCCCCATGTTCAACCATATGGGGAGGGGGCGAAGGGCGCTTTTGGTAAACTGGCAGGTAGTGATGATTTAGGTAAACTGGCAGGTAGTGGCGGGTAATTTTATAATTAACCTTCCAAAAAAATCCATTAAAGTTGATTATAGTCAATTATAATGCATTATATTGACTTTAAAATATTAGGATTATAATCTGTTTTTGATGGATTATCATTGATTTTTGTCATTTGATAGATACTGACTATAAAATGACTATATAATCGATTATTATCCATATCGGTGCGGCTTTAGGGGTTGATGCTGATTGGGCAGTTAAAGGTCCTGCTTGATTTCTGTCTAATTCTACTTTTTCCAAATTAATTGCATTATCCAATGGAATAATGATACTCTCCAATTTTTTTGGTTTTGCGTTGTACTCTTTCTCTCTCCATCTCATTGCAACAATACTGCCCAACATCTATTTCCAGTCACTGATGCCTGATGTATTTTTTTTACAATTTCTTATAAGCTCAGTATTCTGGTGAAATGTTTTTCTTTTTTGGTTGTTGTCGAGTTCTTATTCCTTTTCGTTTGACCGTCCTTGATGTTTTTCGGAAAATTCTGGTCTTTGATGATATCTTGCATATTTTAATTTATGGTTGTAGTTGTCTTTTCTTCAATTTTAGGGCGCATAACTAGATGCGATGATAAAATCAGACTCGGTAAAACTGCCTTTGAAAATTGTATGTGGTTTTTTACAAACTGTTGCCAATCATTTTATCCAGTTTTTGAAAAACTTTGTACCGCTGGCTTGTCTGACGGTAGAATCCGAAGATTAGATATTTTTCGTGCAGTGGATGGTAAAAGTTTTCCTTAATGTTTGGGCTTAAAATATTTGAAAATGTTCACTCTGTTGATGGAACCCGGTAGGAAGAAATTGGGTTTTTCGAGGAAACAGATTTCTTGGAAATAGTGGATTCGGGTCTGAACCATATCCTTTTTTGGGTTGTTTTTTTTCTGTTCTAAAGCAAGAGTCAAGATATCCGTCTTCGGTTCTGTAATCCGCGGCCCAGTTGAAAGCTCTTTCCTTGGCAAAATTGATTTGTCCGTTCTCATGACAAAATTGAGGTGCTTTGACAGATGGTGTTTGAGGTACTAAATTGAGGTGTACTAAATTGAGGTGTTTTGATAAATATGTTTTGTGTTTGAGCATTGTACTTCGTTTTTTTTTTATCAGGTTTAATTACAGTGTTAATTTCGTTTACTTCTTGTGTAGTTCGTGTATTATTATTAATGGGTCTAGTGTAATAATTATGGAGAAGTTCCAATTGATTTTCGTATAGGTGTGAACTAAAGGGTTGTTCATATATGATAGGTTCATAGTCGTTTTCGACTGTTATCATATTTACTGAGATGGTATTATCTGTATCACTTTCAGTATCTGTTGATTCACAATTAATGTGATTTGATTGTAATTAATTATTTTCTGTGTTATCGATACCTGGGGGGTCTGAAGTTGTTTCTTCATTTGTTTGCACTTGATTGATGTGTTTCTGATGCTTTGGTGTGTTACTTCTGTATCAAGGTTTAGAATCGGGATAACGGTTATTATTCCTATGGGATGACTGAGAATAGTTTCTGTATCTATTGTAATAGCTTGAGTTTCGGTTTTGTGATTTATTTCGTGATCTGTTATGATAGTTATCATTCGATCTTTGATAGTTTTATCTATTATATGAGTTATTCCTTGATCTGTTGTTTGGATAGTTCTGATTTCGATTGTTGGAATAACTTCTATTCCTATTGTTTGAATAGTTTCTATTTCTGTTTTATGATGAATTTTGTGATCTATTGTTGGAATAGTGTCTATTCCTTGGGTTTAAGTTGGAACTGGATGCAGAAATAAATTCTGTTGTGTTTGAATTCGATCGTGAATAGTTATTTCTATTTTGGTTATTTTGGCTATTCGATCGACTATATCTATTTTGTGAGAAATTTCGTGAATTTCTTTGTTCGGGCGATCTACTTCTATAACTGGAGTTATATGGTGATTGATTTCTTGAAGTGGATTTCCAGAGCTATAGATGTATCTTAAATTGCAAAAAAAAACAATATTAAAACAAATTTGATCCTTTCCAAATCTCCAATTCATTGCTATGAAGATTAGAGAAACCTTCTCGTTGTCTTGTTTTCGGTTGCATTATTCCAAATTGCTTTTATTTTTTTGTGATGATTTTGATCGGATGTGTTTTTTTTGCCCTTGTGTGAAACTATGTCTTTCAAAATTTAATATGGGATCAATCTAGTGCAGACCTTCTTGTGATGTTTCTGTTTGTCGTAATTCTTTAGCGGGATGGCTGAATAAAGCTGAAAACACATATCGAAAGGCGTCAAAGAAGTCTTTTTTCTTTACTGGATACATCTTTTGGCTTCCGACAAAACAATCATTTCTCTAGAAACAGTTTTTGAGACGAGACCAAATCTGACAAGTTACCTTAGAACTTTACCTATTGAAAGCTAGTGGCGTTGAAAAAAGCCTTAATTGAAAAAAACTTAGACAAATGATTTTGCAAAAAAAAGAACTAAAATGACCTTAAAGAGGTAGTCTTTGACATCTAATGACATTAACATCAAAGCAAATCTTGCTGAAATTTTTCCCAAAAAACATTGTAGTTAAAACGAACGTTTTATCAAACGCATTTATGTTAATATTAAGGTAATCATAGGTGAATTACGTTCTGCTCTCCACACTCGCGGAGGCAAGTGTCTTATAATCGGGAATTGATTCATTTCTTTCCCTAAACAATTTTTACTACAAAATTTCAACCTGCTTCATCTTTTTCCCTTCGAAACGTCTCTTTTCACTAGAGTTTTTCTTTATCATAGCATTGGTGAATGTTAGCTGACGATCTTGTGGTTTCTTTGCATGTACTAGATAAAGTTTTTCGGACAATTGCTCAAAATAGAGACAAAAATTTCCAAAAAATTTAGAAATATGAGAGATCTTTCGCATGAAACTCAAACAACTTTTTTGACTTTATTTGACAAGGTTCTGCAATAAAAACAAAATTTACTAAGTTAAAAGTTTATCACAATGATCAGCCAAAACTTTTACATTAGATAAAAAAAACAAAATTGATAATTGTTTTAGATAATTTTTGAACGTTTTTTTTACAGTCATGTCGTCATTTAAACTTCCTCTTCTACTTTTTACTTCGCCAGTTTTTGGAGTTGTTTTTTGTCATTTTCTCTTAAGTGTTTGCGAAGCACAGCTTTGCATCTGGGTCATGTCTAAATACATCTCGAAAGCAAGGCATAAAGAACAAATTTGATTGCACTGACTAAAAAGATTCATATCAATCTTTAAAAATTATGGACCAAACATATAATAGTGTCAAAGTAAACGGATTCCGAGCACTATTAAATCTAATGAAATTATCAACAATTCAAAAGTGGAAAAAATCTATTTGTTTAACCAAAAATTTTTTTATTTTGCCACAAACCGAAAGAAAAAATTGATTTGGATTGATTCCTAATTGATTCAAACCCATCTACTTTGCGTCTCTATAGTTTGATTTTGGTGGAGATTTTTTCAATGCTATCAATCGATTCAATTCAATTTCAAACCATTTTTCTCGATATTTGTTTTAACCAAACTAGAATAAAAAATTCAATGTATGCTGAATCACTGTCAAACTGATGGAATTATTCGATTCAAAACTTTTTCTGTTAATGCGGGTGTTCGCAAAATTTTTTTTCACCATGCA